AGATATCAGGTGTGTGATGTTAGAACTTTAAATGACCCCCCAAATTTGCGCCAAAAACTGGATCGTCACTCAAACTAAGTAATTTATTCCTTGTAACCTGGTTAAACTGTCCTGTAAGTTTCATTCAGATCAGTTTATCTGTTTTTGAAATATCTGGTCCAGGACGTTTTTCTTAGAATGTTCTTCATACCCCTACTTAGGATAGCCAACAAAACATAATAATGTCTTCCTTCTAGCTTGGTGAAACTTTCCAGAAGCATCAGAGTGATTATCCGCTTTTAAAATACCTCTCGTGGAGTGTTTGCCTTTAAATCGCTTTAATTGTTTCTCACATCCACACCCCACGCCGGATTGTCACTAAGTTTTACGCAGCGCATCTTTGGTATGTGGTCTATGTTGGATAAAGTTTGGTAAAGATCCAAGCATGGAAAGTGACCGAAGTGCAGGGCAGAAAAACACTGCAAAAAGATAGGAAAAAGTATATGCATTTAAAATAAAAATCAGAACAAAAAAAAAATTGCTTTTCCTGCTACTGCTAGGGAAAGCCAATAATAATAATAATAACAATAATAATAATAATAATAATATTAATAATAATAATAATAATAATAATAATAATAATGTTGTCAAAGAGAAGATTACACTAACAAAAAAGGTGAAACACATTTACTAACTACAGACCAATTACCATTCTACCTATTTTTTCAAAAATAACTGAGAAATTAATGCATAGGGAGCCTCGCAAAATAAAGCAACGCGTATACCCGTCTACAACGCGTGGTTGGGGATTAAAATCTCTTCGCGTTGCCGACGAGTGGGTCAAGATACTGATCAAAAATGTTGGACGATTCCATTTCGCGAATTAGGGTTCGTTTTCCGACGTTTATGTTCTACTTGTTTGCGTCGGTTTATCTCGTGATATTGATGTACTGTAATTATCTCTTTTGTCCACTCGTATACGCGTTGCTTTATTTTGCGAGGCTCCCATACTCATCTTTATAATTATTTATTGAAAATCGTTTGCTTAATAATCATCATTTTGGGTTTCGAAACATCATACCACCACACATGTTATCTTAGAACTCACGAATTCTGGTAATAAAGCGTTTGACAATAACAAACTTTTATTAAGTACACCCTTTCTTGATTTTTCTAAAGCTTTTGATCTTGTCAACCATGGTATTATAAATTCTAAACATTTCGTTAGGGTATTAGAGGGGTTTGTTTCGATTGGTTTACCAGTTATCTTAAAAATATAAAACAATATGTTCAAATTAATAACTTCAAATCGTTAGCAAGTACTATTTCGTGTGGTGTACAACAGGGATCCGTATTAGGACCTTTATTAGGTACGGTAGTTTTCGCCGCACGACGTTAACCTTAACTTTAATAAAGGCCAAGTGCGGGTTTGAAATAATTAAAAATTAAACGAGCCTTACCTGTAAGGTGAAGTTTGATAGCGATTCTACCAGATCACGGCGACTAGTGCGCCCTCTCATGTTAACCCTGAGGTGCCGCTGCTGATCTGGTAGAATCGCTATCAAACTTCACCTTACAGGTAAGGCTCGTTTAATTTTTAATTCTACCATATCAGCAGCTCTGCTACTTCAGGGCCAACATGAGGCTTTAAAGCATGAATGGACTCAAGGAAAAATAAGAACCACAAGACACAAAGTTCAACTTCTGCGAACGTTATTTATTTTAACACTGCCTTATCAAACATATTTGTTGTCACGATAGGCTTATTGTAAAATTTTCTAAACATTGAGTCAGATGACAATCCAATAGGCCTAACGATAATATCAATCGGTACCGATTTGCTCACTTTACTCACACTTGCTGCCCGTGTGCTATGAGCAGTAAACTTGGTAGTGTCTATACCAGCAAGTCCGAATTGTAATTTTATCCACCTGCCTACAGTACTAGCTCCAATAGGCTTAAATGGTTTGACATAAGAAACTAACAGTTTTGAACTAAATTCATTTCTCAATAGTCGTGTACGCTCCAAGTAACTTTCCAGGGTAGCGTACACATAATTCCTCTTTATGATATTTCCTAAACATAACCGAGGCTGTTACTTTGCCAGGTCTATCCTGCTTAACATTTTCGGTCAAGGTAAACAAAAATATTCCTCTGTTTTTTCATAAACTTATTATCGCAACCGACTAATGTTTGACATCTTTGTCCGGATGTTAAAGCCATTAGTGTAACCAACTTCATCGAAAGTTCCTTAAGCGTTAGTGCATCATGCGGTTGCATGCATGCGATGAATTCTAGAACTATATCGACATCCCATGTTTCAGAATACCTGGGCACAGGTCGTCTACAATTGAAGACTCCTTTCATGTACCGTAAAACCAAAGGGTGCTTTGTCAACTGGCATCGTGATTCCATAGAAAATTCTGCTAAGTAATTGGAAAACGCCGATCTGGCTGTATTAATCGTTGAATATGACATACCTTCTCTGAAAAGGCTGTGTAAAAACTTTAAAATATCTGTTACATGGGGTCGCACCAAATCAATTTCCTTTCGTAAACAAAACGTATGCCATTTCTTGATGTAGGAATTGTATTGTTTTTGGGTCCCCCGTCGTCAGGAGCACATGATGATGTCTGTAATGTCTGTCTGAATGCCATGCTTAGCGATGCTCTGCCTGATATTTTGCATACCATTAGTCTGAGTTTTGGGCACAGTGGATGACGGGTCTGATGTTGAATCGGATGAATTTACACGTCTTTGGTTACTCGCACCCACCGAGGCGGCTCGACTAGAACAGAATACCTGGGCACAGGTCGTCTACAATTGAAGACTCCTTTCATGTACCGTAAAACCAAAGGGTGCTTTGTCAACTGGCATCGTGATTCCATAGAAAATTCTGATAAGTAATTGGAAAACGCCGATCTGGCTGTATTAATCGTTGAATATGACATACCTTCTCTGAAAAGGCTGTGTAAAAACTTTAAAATATCTGTTACATGGGGTCGCACCAAATCAATTTCCTTTCGTAAACAAAACGTATGCCATTTCTTGATGTAGGAATTGTATTGTTTTTGGGTCCCCCGTCGTCAGGAGCACATGATGATGTCTGTAATGTCTGTCTGAATGCCATGCTTAGCGATGCTCTGCCTGATATTTTGCATACCATTAGTCTGAGTTTTTGGCACAGTGGATGACGGGTCTGATGTTGAATCGGATGAATTAACACGTCTTTGGTTACTCGCACCCACCTAGGCGGCTCGACTAGAAGACTCAGTAACCTTGTAAACCAAACTTGAGTGTTCCACATGGGGACCACTATAATTCCTGTTGCCTGCTCCATCATGACCTTCTGCAGACACCTAGCAACGAGACAAAAAGGAGGAAACGCATAAAAATTAGAAAAATTTGACCAATCGGCGCCAAATGCATCGATAATAGAAGTTTGCGGGTCTGGTTTCCATGATACATAAAGCGAAACCTGTTTGTTCAGTCTGCTCGCAAACAAATCAATGTCTGGCAGCCCGAAAAAGTGTACGACCTTTTGAAAAATGCGCGGGTTTAGCAGCCATTCTAACTCGGTTTTAAAAATTCTAGATAAACGGTCAGCCTCAGCATTTTCGACACCAGGCATGTATGCAGCCGAAAGCCAAATGTGTCTATCAATAGCCCAGAGCCAAACACTTTTAGCGACCGAGTCACACGACGGGGACCTGAAGCCTCCCATGCTGTTGATATACGAAACTACTGTAGTGCTATAATAATAATAGTTGGACTTGTAGAGCGCATCATGCGAAAAAGCCTCTATGCGCTATGTGATTGAGCTCTTTGATTCTAATGTGGACATCGTGAACCTGGTTAAACAAGGATTTGAGGGAAAACTGAACAGCTAACATTTCCAGCACATTAATATGATACAAAGCTTCTTCTTTGGACCATAAACCTTGGGTATCTGAATCATTAGATTTCGCACCCCAGCCAATAAGGGAAGCATCAGTGTAAACTATACGTTGAGCTGGCCCATGATCAATTTTCCTAACAGCTAGCGGTAAGGATCTCCTCCACCATTCAATCTCAATTCTACTCTCTGCTGATAATGACATGGAACGGTCAAAATTCCCTGCGCTATTCCTTAAAGCAGCGTCCTTATCCCGAGAAAGGCATCTATAAAACAGCGGTCCAAATTCAACCCCGGGAAAAGTTGCCACAAGAGTGCCGACAAAAGACGCTATGTCTCGAATGGGGAAAATGCTACCAGAGAGGACCTTATTGCAAAAAGCGACAATCCTGGCGGCTTTATATATTTAGTAACCGAAACAGTCATTGAGACGGAGTCTAACTGGAACCCCAAAAACTCTAACCTCTGCGTAGGTTCAAACACCGATTTAGTAGAATGAACCATAAAACCTAACTGAGAAAACAAGGTCGCTGCGCGAAATGTGGCTTCTTCACACCGAACAGCGGTGGTCTCAGTATAAAAAGAGTCATCGATATACCCAAGGCAAGAGTGCCCATATCTACCTCGTAACATAGCAAACACCGGTTTCAAAATGTTGGTGGAGATACGCGGACTACTCGAAAGACCCATGGGTAGTGCAGTAAACTGGTAAAGTAGACCTCGCCAAATAAATTTAAGGAACTTCCTATGACTCGCTGAAATTGGTACCGAGTAATACGTGTCTCGCAGATCAATGGACGTCATAAAACAGGAGGGGCTCATCAACTTAATCGCAGCCTCCAGAGTATCCATTTTAAAGTGTCGGTATGTAACAAACTCGTTAAGTTTACTAAGGTTAAAGATCATCCGGTACTTGCCCGGTTCCTTTTTTGGGCGGAGAAAAATAGGGGAAATAAATTCACCATACTCCGGACTGGAGCGCTCAACAATCTGTTTGGCTAGGAAATTAGCGATCTCAGCATCAATTGCTTGCTGCTCAGTGGGGGAAAATTTAGCTTCGGGATGAAGATTATAACCCAATTGAAAAGGCATAAAATCAAACTCGACTGTACAATAGCGAATGCATGACAAAATAAATGAGTCAGAGGTAATATCATTCCATCGATCTACGCAAAATCTCAATTGACCAGCTACAAAAGGTGTCTGATTACTAACTAACAAGCCAATCTTACCCATATAACCAACCTCTTTTCCTAGTCTCGGCTCCTCTTCACTTGCGGCGCAGCTGCCCGCCCCCGAGTGGTTCGTAGTTGGGAGCCTCGTCCGCCTAAAAAACCTCGATAGTTCGACTTGAACTGCGAACCTTGTCGACTTCCATAACGTCTAGCTCCTGAATATGGCTGGTAGCTCCTGACACGTGCTCTCCTGCTGGTTGCTACTCTTTCGCCTACTCTATTGGCCTTAGATAAGTCGTCGATTTGCTTAGAAATGTCCCCGAAGAGATCTTTCGTTATTGGAGTCGATGGTCCACATAATGCTGCAAACCGTGTATTCAGATCTGGTTTGAGCATTTCGCGTCGTTTTAAATTCAACTCACGATTAGCCGCCAACGAAAGTACAAGTGAATGAGTAAGTATGGTCCTCATCTCTCCCGACGACTCTTGGCATGCTCGTAGTAAAGCATACATGGAGCTCATAAATAGGGTCTGTGCTTTTTGCAAACCAACATCCACCGCCTTGGATCCCGGCTTCATCTGTCCCCAGATTGGTAGATTTATCCTTGGCGTCACCAAACTCTCACAATTCTGAGGCCTTGGGTATTTAGTCACAAGCTCGGCCAACTTTTTCTTAGGTAGTTTACCGCCAATGAGGTCAGAGACAATTGCAGTCAGTTTAACGTCGACAGCCGGTCCTGTGGGGTCAGCAGTACTGAACTCAGCAGGCAAGTCTGAAAACCCACTGTGTTGGTCTACCTCAGGAATTTGTTCTCGTTCCTTTGCATAATCATCGATATTTTGCACTGCCTGAGCGGCTGGAAACTCATCTTCCAGGTCTGTGTGATCGTCATCGTCACTCCTGATCTCTTCTCTCGCATAGAGGAGGTCTTTAACATTGCGCATAATATCATTTTTCATGTCCGTCACCATGCTTGACATAGAACTAACTAACTCGTCCTTGAGTGTAGCAGAACTACTTAACGGTGTCTCGTTTTGCTCAGTCATCATAATAACAGTCTGGAAAAAAGGAATATAAAAAAAAATGATATACTATCGATACCTAACCACTATGGACTAGACCAAACCATAACGTCTGTGGCTCAACACGGCTCCTAAAATCATAACCGTAACCAATCCAATAAAAGCCCACATGCCATACATACCATACTGTTTGTAGCTAGATAGGCCCCTGTATGGTCATGACGCCACAAAAAGTGTTACGTCAGATCCTATTGTTATATTAGGGCTATGTTACGGAGACCAACAGCTTGCTCTGCGAGCACGTTTTAAGAAATTAATGGTAGTTAATCATTATGCGCACATTCCTACCAAGTAAAAAATGAAGAAGCTAACATAATTCCTTCTTGAATTTGTGTAGTAGGGAAACAAACAGCTTTCTTTCCCTCTCTCAAGTGCGACCGATAGTACACACATGGAGCAAAATACAATAGTCACTTCCATAAGTAGGCCTACAGCGAAACGTGCCCAAAGCTGGAAACAAACAGCTTTCTTTGCCTCTCTGAAGTGCGACCGATAGTACACACATGGAGCAAAATACAATAGTCACTTCCATAAGTAGGCCTAAAGCTGGGTCACAGTGACTGGAAAATCCTCAAACTAAACATTATTATAGACCTACAATTTTAATAATACCCTAAAGGCAAACTAATAAGGTAAAACCTATTTACCAAAAACCTTGAACGAAGAACACACACACACACGTCGGGACTTCACGGGTTTTAGTAGCGTTATGCTTTACGGTGGCTAGTGCGCCATCTCATGTTGGCCCTGAAGTAGCAGAGCTGCTGATATCGTAGAATGAATGTTTCATATACAATAGAGGGATGGGGGACAACAAAGAACGTGATGTCAATTGAATTTGGAGCAAGATATTCGAAAACGAGGCTCGTGAACTGGTGCTACAGGATTTTAAGCTAGTGTTAAAAGATAGGGAATTTCCTAAAATGGACCGACTTCAAATGCTTGCATTCGGTAACCCCATAACAAAATCGTGTTAAACTTTAGATATTTCAACGTAACTTTGGCCGTTCTTTCATTTATATGGGTTTTCACTTATGAAAATGTCTCATTTATGTGTAAAATAACAGTTTGCCCCAGTTTTTGTTTCGTGAATTTTGCATTAGACAGGGAGTCAGCTGATTCACTCAACCGTAACGAGATGTTAACACAGCCAACTGATGATGAGAATGGTCGTCGCGAGCGGAAAATTGAAAAATCGGGATTGGCGAAAACATTTAAT